ATATTTCATGAAAATAAGCTGCATGTAAAATTTGAAAAAAAAAATGAATTTTGGTTCATGTTCTTTGATCATTAAACAATTTACCTCTTTTAACCCGCTTTGATTAACAACTACTAAGTCTGTATGTAGGTATTTATGAATTTAATGTAATTTCAGAATTCAGTTTTCACCGACTTCCCAACGTCTATTAATCTGTATTATGCAAAACAATGACAATGCAATAATTTCATGACTATGATTTAGTATTCTTACTCGGCATTGCAGCATATTATGATCAATGCGCATTATCAAGTATTCTTATACTTTAATATTTAAAAAAAAAGACGAAAAGATAATGAATACGGATGAATAAGTATTTTTAATTAGACAGATGGATCAAGAATACAAATCTGATACAGAGCGTGTTAAGTTTTTTTAACTCTTATATTATGGGTATAATACATCGTGTAGTAGCGGTGTAAGCATATCTACTACCCCATATTGTAGACGACTGAGAGAAAACAACTCAGTAGATTGAGAGCAACGTCTTCCTAATAATAACCAAAAATTTAAGCGTGTAACTATAGCAAATATACTCATGAGTGCGTCATACGTCATATGTTCAGCAGTAGACAATTGATAGGCTGTAACGATAAGAGTATAATTATGTCTATGAAACTCTTTAAGTCAACAGAAATATTGTGTTGGTTATTTTTTTCGTTTTAAGGAGTTATTATTTGCAGTGAGTCACGGTAATTGAATTTTATTCATCCAAAACTGATTCATAGTAGATCTCTTCCAAAAGATATTACCAATGTAATCACTACAATCATTAGAGGGAAATCACCTGGATATGACAGTCTCAGTGTGGAACACTTAAAGTATGCAATTTTTATTTTGCTAGAGTTTTGACTATGTTACTTAATTTGTGCATAGGTGATTCAAATATACATAAACATTTAATAATTTAAATAAGTGAAGGAAATCTCACAATATCAGTAATATCCAATGTGAAAATATGTACCTACGGATTAAAACAGTTCGTCGAAATATTTTCTTTCTAGTTGCCATCTACTGTTGTACATACCTATGTGCATATGGAGGAGGGGTACCATAATTATTACACTGGAAATAATAATTTCCTCCAGACCGAATTTCAGCTACGGCGGCCTGCCTCAACGGAGGCCAGCCATCGGCGCAGGACAGGATCAGAGTGCCCAAGTGTATGCGCAAGCACAGCTGCACTCTCTATTTCCTCACTCTCATATTCCGATGGGACAGTAAACCGACACAACCGGAGAGAGATCAGGCGCAGGACCAACGGTTTTACGTGCTTTCCGAGGCACGGGGGTGAGACACTGCCAACTTCCTGGCTCCGGGCAGCTACTGAGAATTTCATGACGGAAAAACTCAATAATTGATTTTTTGGCATGACCCGCGATTCGAAACCAGGACCTCATAATTCGCAGTCGCAATACTACAACCACTAGATCAACGAGGCAGACAACTATAAATAATAAGTAAGTTACTTATGCCTACCAGGACCTTATGCCATCAGGACCTACCATACAGCACGGCCTGTTAAGACGCTACCCTGACCAAAACCTGGCAAAAGTGCGTTTTTCAGACTCTATTATCTCATTAGTTATGAAAAATAAACTACATCTAAAAGTACATTATTAATGTTCGATATCTTATCATCGCATTCCACGTTCTAATTTATTTTTATGTGCTATAAATACATTTAAAATCAACTTTTAAAAAATGACTAAAATTCTTGATTACATGCATCTGTTGCTAAACGCAACGCTCTAATCATTTGATGATAACACTAATGGATAGATAATTGAAAAAATCTATGTTCTCCACGTTTTATTTAAATATTTAAGTTCGTTTTTTCTCTTTTAATTGAAATAATTCCGAAAATTGTGTGACTTCTATGATAAAGGGGCGTGCGCAGAGTGCGGGCGGCATTACGCTGTATGCGTTCGTACGAGGTGGCCGCGTCGCTGGTCGCCGCGTTCCGTATTTCGCCGCAAACATAATATTATTTGAGTACCTACCAACCGATGCGCTTACGTCACGGTATATTGTAACTCGGCCGTATCTTAGAAATAAATATTACAGCCGTGCGGTACGTAAACATGCGATAGGGTTGCTGCCTCCAGTATTTTTACATTTGCCCATTGATTTATGTGTTTTATAACTCAATGCATTTTCCTACTTTGTGTTTCCATTTAGTTTTATGATTGTACTTAAATATACTTTTTTATATAAACAAATATAATAGGTACTTTGTGAATTGAATAGGAAGTGTTCAATAAAAATGCGTGTCGTTTTATGATTAGTAGATTTAATTAAAAAACCATGTTTATGTTTGAATAACAAATCGGTCTTATAAATTTGCGGCCGAAAAATATTTGCGCCTCGGCTGAGACGTACGAAATGCTTTAAAAATTTTAAATATAAAAAATCCGCATTATAATATAAAGCTTAATTAAAAATTGTTTTGGGAAACATGGACAAGTTGGAGTAAAGGAATATCTTTTACTTGGTTATAGATACCTGCAGCTATTTTACAATTTATATGTTTGGTTTTAAATGAAGTTTGGATTTATTATTTTTTTATTTCTATTCTATTTTCTGAAAGGGTCCTAGGAAAGGAATTATCCACCGCGCTGCCCCACTGCGTGTTGGCGAACTTTGCATGTCTTCGAAATATTATTTTTCTTATTTCTCAGACATGCAGGTTTCCTCACAATGTTTTCCTTCACCACTGAGCACGTGGCAAATCAACACTTAAAATTGCAATTACAATATTATTGGTGCCGGCGGGGATCGAACCCGGTTCGCTCGCACACTGTGAAAATTTTAGCAAGCGCTAACCATCTGAGCTACCACGGCTCCTCTCCTCTCGAGCTAGAGACTTTATTTTATTTATCGTCAGGCCTGTTGGTCTAGTGGTTAGTGACCCTGACTGCTATGCCGTAGGTCGTGGGTTCGATTCCCACCCAGGACAAATGTTTGTGTGATGATTTATCTATAATATTTATGTATTTAGAAATATATAAGTATGTTTATCAGTTGTCTAGTACCCATAACACAAGCTCTGCTTAGCTTGGGACTAGATGGCGTTGTGTGATATTTGTGGAATATTATTATTATTATATTAATATTGTTGGGGTATCTGTATAGTTTTCTCATCTGGTTGGTTTTTATAAATATAAATTAAAATGAAAAGATAAATATACATAAATATCAATAAAATAAAATAAATACAAAAAATATACAAATAAATAAAGATCCAACCATATTAAATAAAAAATAGTCTCCTATCTTTCTCTCTATGTTTTGATCTCCTAAAACGAGTTTGAGTTGGTAAAATCAAGGCAAACTTAGGGTAGGGTTGACAATTATTATTTTGATAATAAAACTAGTGAAATTCCGCGGTTTTATATGCGCAAGCGTGAACGTAGTTAGAACATAATATAATCTTTATATTTTACATAAATATCCTAAAAAACTTATTATTTTAATATTTTACTAAGTACCTATAAAATTAACAAGTTTATTGCATTTTTATTTGAGTAATTTTTTATGCAATTTCTTTATCTACGTCTATTTTTAGGAACCTTTATTTAGTCTGAATCATACATAACACTATATTACTGATTTACTTACTTATACGTAGTTTTTTTTTTGCAGTTACAAATATCTTGTGAGGTTGAAAAAAGGTAGTAATGAAAAAATAAAAGATAAAATAAATGACGTCAACAACCACTTTTCATATCATGGTCCATTAGGTTGCAGCTTCACCGAACCACAACTTATAAATAATAATAACAATAATAAAAAAGGCGTAGAGAAGTGACGACCCATCGCCCGCTGACGAAACAGTTAAGTGACAAAACTGCTACGTCGGTGCAGTCAGTCAGCGCCTTGCCAAGAGGTGTGAGCGCCGTGCCTCGGCAGTACTCAGGGTGCAAAGGCCCGTTTGTGCTTACGGCCGCACAATGATACAATGAAACGGTGCCGGGCCTGGGCGTCTCCCGCTAATTGGCGCCCAAAAATGGATGATGGATAAGATTGGAAAACGTATAGGGCCGCTGCCTGGGGGTCGCCGGGGCGCGTCTGGAGCTGGCGCTGGACGCGGCAGCATGCGGGCCGCCAGCCGAGCGCGAGGAGCTGCAAGATCACCTAACAGCCCCCCGCATCCATCATCCCCACCAGACGGCTTGATGTCGGCAGGGTCCTCTCGGACTCGGCAAGCCGAGCATGCCGCCGCAAGGTGGAGTGCGCCGCATGCGTTGGACAAGGGATATGAACGCAAACGCAATGCGGGCGTACTATAGGGCGAAAGGGGAAGAAACTGCGGGGATAGCCTATCGGGCTCGGATGCATTGCTTTTTTGCTGAGCTGGAGCCGTCTATTCCCGTCACGGAACAAAACCTGGCAGACCGAGTTCGGTACATCATGCGCTCGAAAATATTCGATGATGCCGAGCTCGAACGACTACGACCTGAGGCCATTCCCTCATCGAATGAATTGGCTACGGCTGGGGATGAGGCTCCTCAGGCGACAGACCAGCTGCCACGCGTAGAAGCCGCCATGGATCTTCCAGTTGTGGGTGATTCAGACGATGATGAAATGGTCTCCCACGAACTAGAGCAAATGAGGAGTATATTGGAAGAGGCGATTTTAGAAACGCGCAGCATGCCTCTCGAAAATCGACCGCGACTTCCCCGCATACCCCTAAGCAAGCGAAATCGGGCTGTCGTGAGGGCTCTTAACCCAATGCTGGTAACCTATTTGGAAGCCAGCCGGGACCTTTGCGAGACGGACTCAGTTCTTTTTGGCGCCGCAGTGGCAGCTTGCCGTATTATTGGCGCCAAACTTCCCATGGCTGGACGCGCTACTAAAGAAAATTGAGGACCGTATCGCAAAGGCAAGGGCCCTTATCGGCAGACTGATAAGCTTCAGGTCGGGTAATAATAGACCGAGGGTTTGTGCGCACCGTTAGAATGGCGTTTGCTGGGACAAATATCAGTTTGTCCCAGCCGGATATCACGCAGAAACTAACGGAGCGCATAGACGACCTGAAGCAAAAGATTGCCGCTTGGGGGAAGCGGATTCGCCGATTTACCGAGAGGTCAAGGCGGTTCAACCAGAATCGTCTCTTCCAGAGTGATCAGAAGAGGCTCTACAAATCATTGGAGCGACCAGAGGTATGTGGAGCGGGCCCAGGACCGGATCAGGCTAACACTGTCGCATTTTGGCGTGGCCTGTGGTCAGAGCCCGTAAACCACAGCGAGGGCCCTTGGACGGAAGTTGTGGCGAGTCAGTGTGCGAGTATTACGCCCATGGACCCCGTCATCATAACGCCGGATGACGTAGCTGAGGCGGTCCGTAGAGCCCCGAACTGGAAAAGTCCGGGACTCGACGGACTGCATCACTACTGGCTGAAGGGGTTCATGGTGTGTCACGCTGTGCTCGCCCGTCAGTTTCAAGAGGCTCTCAACCAGAAGTCGCTCCCTAGCCTCTTCACTACTGGGATCACTCATTTGGTTCCTAAAGACCAGGTTACCACAGACCCGAGCGAATACCGCCCCATTACGTGTCTACCCACCATATATAAGACACTGACATCCATTTTGAGCGCGAGAATCACTCGTCACCTGGAGCTAAATCAGGTGATGTCACGCGCTCAAAATGGATGTCGGGGCGGTGGTCGTGGAACTAAGGAACCACTCCTCATTGACGCGGTCATTGGAAAAGTGGTGAAACGCAACCGTCGGAACTTCTCCGCCGCCTGGATAGACTACAGAAAGGCATTCGACTCGGTGCCCCATACATGGCTAAAGAGAGTCCTCGAGCTGTACAAAATAGACTGTACAGTTAGAGACTTCCTCGAGCAGTATATGGGGCAATGAAGTACGATCCTTTGTCATCTGGGCGAGCGGATGATGGCTGCGGAGAACCACATAAGGATAAGAAGGGGTATCTTCCAGGGCGATTGTCTGAGTCCAATCTGGTTCTGCCTCTCCCTGAACCCTCTCAGTACCTTACTGGAGGGATCCGGGAGAGGATTTCAGCTACGGAAAGGAGGGACAAAAGTGACCCACCTTTTTCTATATGGATGACCTTAAGTTATTCGCCTCCAGTCGCTCCCATCTTGTGGAATTGCTAAAAATCACTTGTGAGTATAGCAGTTCCATTGGAATGGAGCTGGGGACGGATAAGTGTGCGGTCCTCCATGTTGAGAGGGGAAGGGTTGCTAACTCTGAGGGCATAGATTTATCTATGCCCGTCAACTTAAGGACCCTTTCCGAGGCTGAAACATACCGATACCTGGGTATGTCACAGAACATCGGTATCGATGAGGCTGGTGTGAAACAGTCAGTTCGACTTTTATGCACGCTTGACCAAAGTGCTTAATAGCCTTTTTGTCCGGTGTGAATAAGACACACGCATATAACGGTTGGGTTATGCCTGTCCTTATGTATACCTTTGGCATACTCAGGTGGACTCAGACTGAACTTAACGCCCTGGATAGAAAAGTCCGCACTACCATAACGTCCCATAGGATGCATCATCCGAGATCGTCGGTAATGAGGCTGTACTTGCCGCGAAAGCATGGTGGGCGTGGCTTTCTAAGCGCGCTCACTATGCATAATCGTGAAGTGTGCAGCCTCCGTCATTACTTCCTGGCGAGATCGGATGATCCATTCTATAATGACGTCATTTCTAGTGATAAAGGGCTTACCCCCCTATCCTTGGCCAACGAGCAATGGCAGGACCCAGCAGTGCTTAGCATTTCCGACCGGGAGACCGTATGGAAGGAGAAGGAGCTCCACGGGAGGTACTACAGGGCTCTACATGAGCCCTTCGTAGATACAGTCGCCTCCCTCAACTGGCTACATTTCGGTGACCACTTCGGGGAAACCGAGGGTTTTGTCTGTGCAATACAGGATCAGGTTATTAAGACCAACAACTATCGGAGATACATCCTAAAGGATGGCACCGTCGACGTCTGTCGAGCTTGTCGCCATCCCGGGGAGTCACTTAGACATGTCATCTCCGGTTGTTCGGCGCTTTCTAACTCTGAGTACTTGCACAGGCACAACCTAGTAGCCAGAATTCTACACCAGGCGCTCGCTCTAAAATACGGTCTCGTGGACCGGAAATTGCCGTATTACAAGTACTTGCCGGAAGCCGTGCTCAAAAATGACCGCGCCAGGCTCTACTGGGACCGGGCCATCATCACAGACAGGACTATTCTTGCGAATAAGCCTGATATTGTGCTGGTGGACCGGGCACAGTCAAGGATATTTTTGGTCGACATTACCATTCCGTATGACGAGAACCTCGTGAAAGCCGAAACAGATAAGCAAACAAAATATCTGGACCTGGCTCACGAGGTGACCGACATGTGGGGTGGTCTGCCGACCGAAATTATTCCTGTAGTCGTCTCTGCAAACGGGCTAATCCCAGTCAGCCTCTCGGGTCATCTGAGGCGACTGGGACTCCGTGACGGACCGCTCCGGGCTCAAATGCAGAAGGCAGTGGTCCTCGATACCGCCCGCATCGTCCGTCGGTTTCTTTCCCTTTCCCCCTAACCCTCGGCCGTTTGGTCTCCCCTGCCGAGGGCTTCCATCTGGTTGGATCTTTTTTGTAGATATATATAAATTTTTATTTATTTGTGTATTTTTTGTATTTATTTTATTTTATTGATATTTATGTATATTTATCTTTTCATTTTCATTTATAATTATATATTTATAGAAACCAACCAGATGAGAAAACTATACAGATACCCCAAAAACAATAATAATATAATATTATTTTGTATTTATTTTATTTTATTGATATTAATGTATATTTATCCTTTCATTTTAATTTATAATTTTTATATATTTAAATATTTATATAACCGAACCAGATGAGAAAATTATACGGCTCCAACGATTTTAGCGACGAACGCTTGGATTTATTTTTAGAAAATGTCCTTTTGTCCATGTTTTCAGGCAATAAAAAAACTGCTACAATATAAGAAGGTAAATTTCGACTAGTGATTAACGGTCGTTATAGCTCAGGTGGTATGTCGGTCGGGCGTGATGTCGGAGTTCCGTGGTTCGCGTCTTGGCTTTGGTCCCGCTTTTTTTTTCCTTTTTTTTCAAGTTCCCTTCTTTTTGTGAGAAAATTTATTATTTCAAACCCTTTTTTTTTAGTAATTTTTAAAAATACGAAAATTTTAATTTTAAAAATTTAAAAAAATATCTATTTAGTTACTAATGCTATATTTATTATTTTAATAATTACCTACCCAGTAGGTAAATATTAAAATAATAAATGTAGCATTATAAACAGTAAATCTCCCTCAAACTCAATTTACTAATATTGCTCCTAAATAAGGAATAGCAGATAAAAGATTAGTAGGTAATAACTATTGCTCCTCAAAATTATATTTGACCTCAAGGTAAAACATATCCTAAAATTCAGTAGCTAAATAAAATAATAATAACTACTATTCAAGTATATTTTCAATATGTACAACACAACAGCTATACTTCTGCATTCAATATGTAAGTAAATGAAAATAACAAAAACCATTAGCATGTAAAGTTCGAATCCATAATTAATATTTCGACAAATATTATAATTTACACTATAAAAAAGCTAATTCAATATTAGCAGTATAGTAAATAGTTAAAAATAATCAAAATAGTCATTTTTATTAATTAGATAATATATTAGAATACATAATTCTAATATAATGCAACTAATATACCGAATAAAGAAAATTAAAATACATTTATCATTGTACGCCGTGTCTATTTCCATAGAAGAGTTCATTGACATTGAAAAAATAATACTACGTTCGTAGCAGTAGGTGGCCTCTTTTGGCGATTTCTTACGCGATATATTGTAGCGAGCGTCGACAGATCAAACGCTCAAGGTCGTTCGCTGGAGGTAGCGCCTTAAGTAAGTAACAGCACGTGACCCAATTCACTTACGTGATTTAAGAATGTACAACACAGTGTCATCAGGAAGTCACCTATCTCCTGCTAAGCAAACAACAGTACGCCTTAAAAGATGTCACTCAATTTACTTACGTGACGTAAGAATGTTCCATATACTAGTATGAAAACCAAGGCTTAATTAGTAGTTAAGTTATTTTAAGTTAGGTACTCACATGTCACCGTAGTTAAGTTAGCTGGTGAGTTATAAAATAAAAGTAATATAGGAAAAGCCTTCGCTCCTTCCACTTCGACCCTCCCTAAGCTGCGGCAAACTTAAGTAGCATGAAAACATCGTGAAGAAACCTACATGTTTGGGGAATAAAAAACTTCGAAGACATTTAAAGTCGGCCAACTGGTGAAACCATGTCTCCAAGTTCTGAGGTGTATATTGGGCTAGAACTTTACACAAATTGTAATATAAAAACAATTTCCTTGGTAACAAGATGGCAAAAACGCATAACAGTCCATGTCTTACGCTTTGATGCGTACCTACAGTTATGCGGCACGGAGGTATAACATCGCCTACTTCCTGACTCTCGAGAATTTCTTGACAGAAACACTCAATAACTGTTCCTTCGATAGTTTACAGCTTCGATAGTTTACAATAGTGTAATCACTTGTAAAGTGCCTATAATACAATATTTCATGAGAATCATCAACTTTTTTAAATTCATCGAATCGATGTGATGTGTTAAAAATGCAACAGTCATGACGATTTCGAATGTAAGGAGTGAAAGGTTCATAAACAAAGACTATAAAAAGAAATTTTACACTACAAAAAATTTCATATTTATAATTAAATGCGTTGAATTTATAAACACTCGTAATTGTTCATAATCTAGAAATGAGAGACCACAAAAAACTGGCGTTTACCTGTTATGAATAACTTTTCACCTTTTCTTCTAACTCAACTTGTAAACATTATAATTTAGACGGCAATTCTGGTTTAATACTACGAGGGTGACGGTGTTATAACCACTCCGAGAGGTTTTATGTAGTCATTGTTTCTTTGATTTTTTTAATTACTGGAAACATGTTTATATCAGCACAAATGTACTGTCAGGTACTGTAGGGTCAACTCTCAACATTTATGATGTTTAGATTATTACATACAACGCAGTGACGACTTAATACCGTGCTCAAACACTTAGGGATTAAAAAAGAAACTTTTACGTAGTAATATGTAAAAATTCTTTTAAGGTATTTTCATAAATGCCAGTCAAACTAGGAAATGCAGGTGAGGTAAATTGGACTTCTACTATCAACCATGTATTCATTTGTATTGAAATATCATACAGTCTTTTTTTTAATATTTCCTTTTTTTTAAAAATAAAGAAACACATCTTAAAATAAAGAAAGAAAACTTCATATATTTTACGCAAACTTGGAAGTCTGAAGTGAAGCTTAAAAACCTAGTAGACGGGATGTGCCCTATCATAGCCAACACCTCACGTTGAGAGATACTTACGAGTAACTAATAGAAAACTGAAGAGGATTCAGACGCTGTATATACTATATTATCTAGTATCCTTTCTAACAAACTTTATTCATACTCCATAGCATTTTCAAAGCATTCTTTGGTAGAAGGATAGGATATACGAGCAACCCGTCCCGGTTTCACCTGGGTGACATCCATTAATGTAACGCTATTTTGATTTTTGACATACTCATAAATGATCATTTTCTCATTTCACAGAAAATTTCAAGTCAAAGTCAAGTTTCCCATTTCACAGAAACAAAGTCTTGAAGGTTTTCGAATAAAATATTGCATTGCTCTCTAACTGTTCGTGAAGTTTTATCACTGTCGGTTCAGCGATACCGAAGATTAGCCCGAAAAGACAGTCAGTTAAACAAATAGTTAATATTTGCCTGAATTTACTTAATAATTATTTTTTTACGTGGTAGAGCTATACTGCAGTTATGTTAGTAGTGTAGTTGTAGCACGAATGGGTCAGCTCGACCGGGACAGGACCACGCTCTCACAGAATACCAGCGTAAAATAGTAACTTAATGCTGCTGTGTTTCGTATGTTGAGTGTAGAGAACCGGAGACCCTTTTTACTGGAAACGAGGCATTCCATCTTAGTCTTAGGGTGACAACCACAGAAATCTAAATATAAATGAAGTCGTAAAAGCGCGTGACTTTGTTGCCGCACATGTGACTCGTAGACGACAAGCGCGCGAGGAGCGTTTGTTTCGGTACCACTCACCAGTACTCTTTCGGACGCAGAGACGTAAAAATGGTGTTTTGAAGCATATCCAACTGCGGAAATTCCTCCACAACTTGCAAATTTTCAAATAAAGGTATAACATTTCATAAATAAGTACTTAGTGTTTTAAATAATGTTGTGTTTAATGAAATATACTTAAATAAAATTATCCACCTCCAGTACTACGATTGTCTCCGAAATTTTAATTGTTTTCACACTTCAATATCTATTGATTCCTAAGCTAGTTCATGTCTACGAGTGCGACAGCTAAAATCAGCGATGGATTTATAGTATGGGCAATAAACAAAATTGTTGCGTACGTAAATTTCCCAGAACATGGCCGTAGGAGTCGAATGAGAGTCAGTTACGTGACACAACTATTTTGTATCGATAATTTATTATGTTTGGCTTACCTCGTTTTAACGAAACGGGAATTAAATATGATTTTTCGTTAAATATTTATTTACACCTTTCTACTTTTTTCTTTCTAAATATTTTATACCGTTAACCGTTTATCGGCGATTATCTGTTTGTTTGTACTTTTAAATTACTTGATAAATTTTTATTCGGTTATATTGTAAGGTTAAGTAATTATATTGTAAGAATAGTAATCTTAATTCGATCTGTAAGAAGCCGGGAAACTGAAAAGTAGCAAACAACAGAAAGTCAGTAACAGATCTTTAAAACTAATAAAAAATGATAAATATGTCACCCATACATATATTTATTCGTTTGCTGTTTGTGTAATGTTGTATTCATTTTATTTATAGATCTGTTTATTTAATACAATGCTTTCATTACAAGTTTCTAAAAGATCCGGTTATGGTTATATATTACAAATGGATATATTTATTCTTAACGTGTTATTATTTCCCCTTTTTTTCTAATTATAAAACGCCTAAAAGCTAAAGCTAAGACTAAAAGCGTCTATTACTGAGACAATTTCAGTTAATTAGTTATATCTTGGTGTGAGACTCCTGGAAGATCAACGATGCTTAATAGAAAAAGTTATCGAAACGTGCGTTGGCTTGCACTATGCCCAAGTGAGAGCGAGCGCGCAATGTCATTCTCTGTTTTTCGCACACTTTAATTACTGGACCGAGTGGCTACGCTTTCTGAGATTTTGCGTTTTTATAAAATATTCCTTAACGCAATAGTTTATATATTAATCTTTGTTGCATGAATGCTAGAGATATTTGTAGGCGTAATTGTGTATTTATTGTTTGTCTATGTGTGAGAGCTACGACCTGGCGACGCGCGTCCCGATATTAAAAGACAGTAGAAGGCACATCTATTGTCTTATTATTTAGATTTCTATGGTGACAACGCATCTGCATTTTGATTCATAGTCGAGGATAGATGTAGATGTCTATGGGCCACAGCAACCACTTACTTATCAGGTGGACTGTGTGCTCGTTTATCAACCTATCCTATTAAAAAAAATATTGACTTGAAAATTACTCCATGAGCTAGACTACACAAAAGGCAGTTATTTTGATATTACAGACAGACACTTCGATTATATTTACGTATTTGGATTGGATTTTTGTATCTATTAACATATGTATTTATATGAATAAGAATGCATGGAAATGGTAAGCTTTACTGATAGTTGAACTAATTATTTGGCAGAAAAATTGACAATTTTTTTATGTAATTGCTGCTTCTTCTCACAACGTTTGCTGGTGTTACTTGTTGTACCAAATGAAAGCCAATTTGATAGCTTGATACCAAGTTATCAGCAAATAAAAGTCAATTTCAAATAAAAATATTAATTTTTATTTTAAGTCTAGCTAGAAGCAAAGCGCTCGCCATAAAATTTAGAGTAGCAAGCAACCTGCGTTCGATCTCCGTCGTCATCAAGGTACGTGTGGTTTTCATTCATCATTTTCTACACATAATGTGACGGTAAGATCACAAGGGTAGTTTTAAATATGATTGCAAATATAATCTCTTTATTTTATCCGAATTAACGTTTCGCGTGCCTTAGGCCGGGTTCCCACTATGCCGGATCGGCAGATTTACCGGCTCGGTAAAACTGCCGGAAGAGCTAATGGCTAAAGAATATATATGAAGCTGTTCACTTTATACCGGATCCGGCAAAAATACCGAGCTCGGCATTTTGGCCGAGCGTTATGTCAGTGCGAAGCGCCGGTAGAACACCCGGACTGGAGTAATGTGGACCACTTTGCCCCGGATCTATGTCCCCGCTCGTGCTCCCCTCACGTCATTCGACTCGCATTTTCTGATAAAAGTAGACGTGTAGCATGAACATTCAAGCAGAAACTTTAATTACGCTTGTCCAAAAAAGACCTGTCAAGTTACTCTTGAATCCAATAACAATTTCGATCCAATCTCAATTTCAATCCAACGTCAATCCAATTTTCACAAATAACCGTACTCTTGAAAACAATGGGTGCGTTTGGCAGAAAAAAGCGCTAGCAAGCGCTTTTAAGCAAAATGGCGAAACTAAACAGTTTCCGGCCAGGACACGTTTGCTAACTTCAGTAGCGCTGACACAATCCGCTATTTTGCTTATTTAATTTGTTTGTTTTGAAGTAGTTTATAAGTTGTTTTGTGCAATATTAATTTTAAGTAATATAATGACATGAATAGACATATACATGTTATTAAAAATTCATGATTGGTAAGTTTTAATATGAATACTTAACAAACATATATTTAAATTAGGTTAGGTTCTCCGGTTAAAACTAACTTCATGTCCTAGAGGAAAATAGCTACTTATCATTTGACAGCGCTTACCGCTTATGACCGCCATTTTGCTTACAAGCGCTTGCTAGCGCTTTTTTCTGCCAAACGTACCCATTTTTGACATTGGATTGAAATGGGAATTGCGCTCGTATAAGCCGAAAATTTTGTCGTAACACATGAAGTTAGCTACGTTACTCTTAGCAACAGGCGTGTTTCATTTATCGTTGAACCGGTAAAGTCATAATAAACCCTTTGTAACTTTCATAAACAAGAGTTTAAGTAGTAAAAATACTTAATAAATGGTATAATTCGTTAAACATAACATCTTTTCATAGAGTTCTTAAACAAAAAACGCTATATTTTCGAGTTTTGATTTAATTTAATTATAAGGCTGTATAGGAGCGTGCCTTTGCCTCATTTTTGTTGTCATAAAAAATTGTTATCACGACCTTCACGAAACAAAGTACGAAAATCAACTTTCTAATAACTTTTTTGAAGGTTTTTTGGCGGGAACTTGGCCGTAGACGGATTGTCGCTCCTGTTTTGTCGCTTGAATAATGGTTTGAAGTGGATTTTGATTCGTAAAAGTGATGCGATTTTGTGAATTAAGTGTCCGCGCGTGTGAACTATTAGAGAAAACGACGAAACAAGTGCTTTGATGTCGATATAAACCTCAAGTTATTTTGATCGCTTGGGCGCCTCATGAACTTGAGTGGCTGTCGTCATCAACTATCCGCTAGGTTGAGCTGTCGTCAAAATCTCCCAAGGGCTTCGCAATGTGACGCATCAGCATATTGTGAAAAAAAAGAGAGAAAAAACATAAAATAATGAAATATTAAATACAAATAAGGAATGGTTAACACGTACTTACCGGACATTGGCAGAATTATTGTGACATTATCACAATACCAAGGGCCATATAGTTATTTAAAAAAAAACTTTTTTTGAAGTTTAAAGGTGAAGTGCTTTTTTAACATTGAAGTAATATGTACTTACGTACTAGAACAGCTATCTCAAACAAAAAATGTGCGCTACTCTGTGTTCGCGCGGTTCATTTTTTTATCATAGAATAAACATAGGTAGAATGAACCGTAGGTAATAGTAGATTGTATTGTTAAATAGGTAAATTATATCGAGAACAATATTTAAATTTTGTCATTTATTTTGTATATTATATTTGCTTATTTAATATAATATTACATAATATTATATCGCAATTACATTTTAATTATATTTTTATCTGAATTTATTAAAAGGTATCTATGTCAAATATAAAAACATACTAAATGAATGTTTAACAAAACTTATTGACATAACATTTAAATTACAAATATATTTATTTTAGTTAAAATAAGAGTGTCGTTCATAAACGAGCACGCGAGAGTTAAAAATGGACGAATTTATTCCACTTTGACTTTGATGTGGAAAGAATATTAAACAGATTTAAATATGAAAAATTTTGCCTAATTATAATAACTTATATATTTTTCTACAAAAAAAATGTGTATAATAATATATTCGTCCTATACTTAAGTAACCACAGAAATGTCGCATCTGAACATATTAATTTCATAATCTATATTCCATGACACGAGATGGCGTCTTAGGAATAATTTCTTTCATTATTAATATATAATACTTTTTTTATTGATTAAGTGTCTTATTAACCGATGAAAAGTAATTCCTTGGTTTTTACTGACATTTCTTGAATTATTTGTGCAATATCTAAGTACACACGATGGCATATTTTTATCAAGAGATTTTTTTAAATCAACAGAACACTTGACAACACTACAAGCGCCTAGCAAGTGACTGATTAAAGTGCGGTGTATGCACCGCAGTGGAGTGGAACAGAGTAGCTGAATGCAGTGTCGCCTCTAGTACGTAGTACATAATAGCTCAATGCTTTTTAGTATGTATACTGCGAATTACTAATAAATGAAATGAAATGAAATGAAGATTTATTTGCTTTGAAAAAGGTTACATTAAGGTGGTTATTACAAAGTATAGTACAGCTTTTCCAGCCATCTATGGATAGCATGCAAATACATTTTTTATAATTAAGATTATTTAGTTTTTTATTAAAATAGCGAATTCAATTAAAATATATCATAAAATAGTCATCGTTTAGAAATTAACAATACCAATACATACAAATTTAAAAATAATTAAAATTTAAAATGCAATTAAAAATATATAACTACTGTTGTGTCGCATCATGTCAAATTTAGGTAGTCATTCACATTATAAAAACAATGATCATTTAGCCACCCGTAAAGGGTGCCTTTAAATCTATTAAGGGGTAAGTCTTTGATATTTTGGGGTATTTTATTAAATATGAACATATACATCCAGTAGCAATTTTTTTTAAACCGAGCACTCTTGGGTATAATTTCAGCAGCAAGTCTATTGCCATTTCTGGTATTTTGCGTATAAATCTCTTTTGCTTGTCTGAAATAATACATGTTTTGTTTTACAAACTTTGCAATTTCAAAAATGTACAAGCATGGGAGTGGTAGTATTTTTAGAGATACAAATAGCGGCCTGCAAGGCTCACAGGTGCAGTACCACATATTGCTCTAATACATTTTTTTTGGGCAATGAATGCCTTTTTTGCATTTGTGCTATTGCCCCATATAATAAGCCCGTATCGCAGTACGGATTCCACATATGCAATGTACGCAGTAAGTGCTGTATTTTTGTGGCTACTTTGCTTAGTTTATATAGTGCGTACGAAAATCTATATACTTTTTTACATACATGTTCAACTTGATATTTGCAATTTAGTTTTTGATCAATCCATATACCTAGGAATTTTGTCATATTTGTACCTTTTAGTGCTTGTCCTTCAAAATTAATGTTCATTGTCTGGTATAATATGTCATTGAAATTTAAAAAATAAGTTTTGTCAAGATTTACAAGTAGGTTGTTATTTTTAAGCCATTCTATTATTGTTTTTACTGTATTGTTAATATCATTAATGTGATCTTTAAGTGATTGTTTACCATCTGTTTTTACTATTACAGATATGTCGTCAGTAAATAAAATGCATTTGTGTTTAGTTACATCCGGAAGATTATTAATATATACTAAGAACAACAGTGGTCCCAAAACGCTACCCTGTGGAACTCCATATTTGTTTTCTTTAAAATCTGATTTGTGATTTAGGACCACATGATTGCAGTCTGGTTTGCTTATTTCAACAGATTGACGTCTATTTTGCAAGTAACTTTTAATCCAACTTAAAGCAGTGCCTTTGATGCCACATTTTTCCAATTTTACCAGTAATGAATTATGTGAGACAAAATCGAAAGCCTTCGACATGTCAAAGAAGAGTGCAGTTGTATAATTATTAGCATTAAGGCATGTTAGTGTCTCATTTACCATATCGAAAACAGCATGTGTAGTAGATTTTGCCTTCTGGAACCCATACTGAGTGGGATTCAGGACATGATATATGTCAAAGAACGATGTGAGTTTAGTATGCATAATTTTTTCATATACTTTTGACAAAATTGGCACGAGCGCAATAGGACGGTAATTGTTCAAAATTGATTTTTTGTCTTTTTTGAATAAAGGCTTAATCAAGTAAAATTTAAGTTTATCAGGAAAGATACCAGAGATTATTGATAAGTTTATTAAAAATGCCAAAACCCTACCTATTTCTTTGTTGCATGCCTTAATTACTTTAGTACAAATGCCGTCATACCCTTCTGAGTCACTATTATTCAAGGTCATTATTACTTTATTTATATCATATTCGTCAACAGTACACCCTGTTGACGAATATGATATAAATAGAATTATTTAAGATTAGATTGGATTTATTTTTTGGTATATTATTTTGGATATCTTTGTTTGTCAATTCAATGAAGAAATTATTAAAATTATATGCGATTTCTGTAGGAATAGTAATAATTTTGTTGTCATATTCAATAACGTCAATGTGATTATTATAGTGCGGCTTGGTATCTATTTCATCCTGTATGACCTTCCAAGTAGCTTTGCAGGTATTTTTGCTGTTTATCACATATTTATTATTAGTTATTTTTTTTAAAACATAGTATGCTTTTTTAAGTAGTTTTGAGTAAACTTTATATTTGTGTTTATTTTGAGGAGTTTTTCTCCTTTAGTAGTTTTTTCTTAGGACTCTATTTTTCGCGCAGCTATTCCTGATTCCCTTAGAAATCCATTTTAAATAGGATTTTGAAGAAAATCTAACTTTTTTATAAGTGAAGCAGAGTTTGTAAAGAAGGCATAGCCAATCATGAAATTTATTAAACGCAGCATTAGGTTCTGTTTCGCTGTAAACATCGGAGAAGGAAAGGCTCGCCAAATATTTTTTAAACTTCTCTATATTTTCAGAAGAGTAGTCCCTCCTATAGGTGTATAAGGTTTTTGGGGAGTAGTCTTTGATGTAGTACTGAAACCAAGAATTTGCGCAGTATCGTGGTCCGATAAACAGAGAGGGAGGTTAAGTCCAGTTGCACCTTTAATATTACTAAATATATGGTCAATACATGATAGGTCTCTAGTGGGTTCCGTGATATGCTGAGTGAGATTATAATTTTGGAGAATATCTAGTAAGTTGTTGGTCACATTATTTCTTATTTTGCTTCGAGTGCTTATGCAAATATTTACTAAGCACAAACTCCAGTTTATCGAAAAAGCATTCAAAATGCCTTTTTTTGTAACAGTTGAGGAACGGTATACGCATACAATAATTATGTTGTAATAAGGTATTTTTATTGAGCAACATTCAAAATGAAATTTGGCTGAAGCCTCGTCAAAAATGGTTACTTGCTTGAATGCTATACATTTTTTTACCATTATGCAGGTTCCACACCTTTTCTTGTTTGGTGAATAGTGGACCGCAAGTTCGTAATTATGTATATTGATATTTTTTTCCTCACCACACTTTATGAAAGTCTCTGAAAAACAAAGCACATCTGGGGACAAATCTTGATTTAGTACCGAGAGAGTCACTTCAATAAGTTCTTTTTTTGAAGATAATCCCTGTATATTTTGATGAAGGTTTACGAATAAATTGTGATTATTGTTAGGAACAAAAAATTTCATGAATTTTGTTTTCGAGTTTTTGTGTTGTTTTATTTGGTGATTCTTTTGCTTTAACAGGGAAGTAATATGGTATTGTCCCCTTTTTATATACTTGCATGTTCGCGCTATTCTTTGAAATGTAATTGATCTTATTTGAATCATTTTTTAATTTTAGCCCATTTTCAATATAATCGTGCTCATATTTTAGATAATCTATTTCTATATTCAATTTAGTACATATTTTATTTTTAGACGATGTTGTATTTAGGCTGGTGCAGTTATTCAATAATTAGTTTATGTCAATAAAAGTACAATTTTTATAGTTTTTTTACAATAAGTTTGATTTCAGCATTAAGTTTATGAACTTTAGATAATTATTTTGTTGTACGCTTAACAAAAATATTTTACAATGCTTTAAGTTACATAGCGTATTACATAAGTTAGTTAAGAAAAGGTAAGGATTTTTGTCATTACAACCTGTAGATAATATCAGTATGTCATTATTGTTTAAAGAATCTTGTAAATAGGTACAGCTTCTTAGTACTTCTGAGCTCGATGCGAATGGTTTTACCATACCAGAGACGTTGTAGTAATCATTATATAATCCAGAACGTGATAATTTTAATTTCGCTGCCAGGCATCTAGTCTGTTGATCACCGATTATATGGATAATCTCTAATTTATTAGATTATATGGATAAATAGATATAATGGCTTCCCTCATCTTTTTTTTTGATTAGCAGAGTGAACTATTATGGATTTAATGAATCAGGGTGCTTAGATCGCCGGCGCTTCCTCGATGACTTTTTTCTTTAGTCCTAGATGGCGTGCTACTAACTTGTTGTAAATAATTAGAGCTACATTCCCACTTTTCATCTTCCAGAAAATTCAAGACTGGTTTGTTCATACTCTTTCTGGTTTTTCTGATAGTGGTATTTTTTTAAGGTATTTTCTAATAGAATATTTTCTATTTCTGCTTCAGCAATTTGTAGTTTTTCTTTTAGTTCTCGATTTTGTGTCTCAAGATTTTCTATTCTATTTTCCACGTTTAACTTTTTCAAATCTGGGCAGCTATTAGTTTTGCTATTTTGCGTTAATATGGTCAGTATATCAGAGTTTTCATCGTCAGTTAAGATCTCGAACGAGTAATTTGTAGGAATATTTACTGACAAATTGTTTCGCGCATTCGAGAAGCATTGGTCACATTTCCATTTTGCTTTATTATCCTCGGTCATCAATGAAAACCTCTTAACAGAAACATTTGCGCAATCAATATGGTAATTTTGTGTACAATAGAAACAGCATAAATACTCGCAATTGTCATGTTTCAATATTCTTTTATTGCATTTTATACACTTTACCGCCATCCTGTTGCTCCGTCAAAACTTAACGCGTTTTTTGAATAAAAATAGTAATTATCAATCCACAAAAACAATAAAGTGTGGAACACGGCAAGGAGATTTGAACCACGAGTTCACGGTTATGTTAACATATCAAGTCGCTGATTCCGCAAGGCTACGATGTAATATATCTTAACGTCGAAATTTAGTTATATATGTTTCTTGTCGCATGTTTAAACGGGTCATTGGCGGTTATTATGAATCACCTTAATGGAATTTCTTGTCACTATCACCACTTTATTATTAATTTTATCACTATTTGTTAATCATAAGGGTCACTGAGAATTTTTATAGGATTGTTATTAATTTATATTATATTTTTTCCACGTTTTTTACACTTATATTCACTATGATTATGCACTAGGTAAACTTTTTTTGAGTTTTTTTATAAATTTTGTGGTATTTTTTTAAATGTTTATGATATTAACACCAAAAGTACGCGTTATTATCTACAGTTTTTTTTTTGAAAATTCACTTCACAATTGTTTGTTTTAATATTTTTAAATGACAAAAATACACAGAGCTGAAATTGACGTGACGGCGGCGCCTCACCTGTGTTTCTGTGTTTTATAGACCTTTCAATTTTGGTATAACTATAAGCAGTTTGAAATAGTTCATTATCGCAATAACTACTTGGATGCATCATACGAAACAGACGAAATGGGCAGTGTTAACTGATTAGGAGGAACAAAATAAATAATAATAGTCAAGGATAGGAAGTAAGTATAACAATGTTTTTTTAACCACTCGTGATACCCCTCAGTCTATGGACCTATTAGCATTGAGTTATACAACACTAGAGGAGCAAACCACATTACCGCGAGTCGAAAAAAGTGTAACCACTATCCAAACGCGACGACGTAGCTTTGAAACTAATAACAATTTTAAGTAAACATATATCTATCTCACTTACACAAGTTGCGAAAACAATATCGTCGCTAAGATTAGATAAAGATAGACACAAAACCATGCAATGGCGGGTTGGTGTGGCTTACTATATGAAATTTTACCTAAAATACGCAATAAAAATGAGTTTTTTTAAGCTGCAGTTAATTGTTTTTATATTAAAAAAGTATATTTTATTTTAAAATCTTTATTACGTCCCCTTAGAAAAAAAGGATACAAAGCTTATCAGATGAATATAAGTAAACATAATGTTGAAATAAAACGTATTTTTATGGTACTAATAAATCAAACAATATAAAATAGGTAATAAAATATAATTAATATAAAATTTATATGAAATTATAAATAATATAAATTTATTAATATAAAATAGGTAATAAAATATATTTAATAGATAATTCATGAATAAACTAAAATAAGAATAATTAATTATTTTGTATGAAAGTTAAAACGTAGTTAAATAAATATAATAAAATCAGAGGTAACAAATTCACTTACTCCATTAATTATAGTGTCTCCCATTAATTTAGTATAATCACAAATGCGGAAAAGTGGCAACATTGAACCTAAATGGCAATATTCAATAATTTTATTTAATTATTTGAGGTTTTTTACGTTTATATGAAAACAAGAACTAAAAATTATGCGATTAATAAGAGCGGACAAGAGGAACAGGCCCGCCGATAGGAGGAACAGATGCTCCTCATGAAGGACCTTCACGCTACCTTTGGGAAAGAGATAAGGGAGGTGAAGGATAGGGTTGCTCAACATGACAACCGCCTGTCGGAAGCTGAAACCCGAATCGAAGAACATGAAACCCGAATCAACCATGTGAACAATCGGGTTGACAACGTGATGGCTGACGTGAAGAAAACGCTGAACGACCTCAAACTTGGCCTCAAACCTACAGCACCTTCGCTACGTGGATTCAAAGTGCCGCCGTTCGACGGGACTTCTTCCTGGTCGGCCTACAAAATCCAGTTCGAGGCCATCATGGAGGCAAATGGCTGGAATAAAAGCCAGGCCATGACTGCACTCACCTTAGGCCTGCGCGACCAAGCCTTAACCGTGTTGGAAGCTCTCGGTAAAAAAAGTGACCTACGAGCAGCTCCTTGAGGCATTGGAGGCGAGATATGGTGACGCTCACCTGGGACACGTCTTTCGCACGCAGCTTAAAGATCGCGTGCAACGCAGCAACGAAAATCTGCAGCAGTGGGCCCTTGAGGTGGAGAAGATGGTTCGAAAAGCATAGCAGTATGTACCTGCGCTCATTGAAGGGAACCTGGTGCAGACATTCATCGACGGCATCCGCGACCTTAAAGTCAGAGCTGCTGTGAGGCTGGGGCGCCACAAGACGCTTAAGGACGCCTTGGCCCATGCACTGGAGGTGGAAGCCGTATGGCAGGATCTTCGCTCCCATCGCGTCAGGGAGATTGCAGCAGCTACGGTACGCGACCGCAATAAAGGATACGGCCCTAGGTGCTATGGCTGTGGGGAAAGGGGCCATCTTCGATCCAGCTGCCCTAAGGGAACCGTAGAAAGGGAAGGTGAACGATATCAGGAAGGTGGTGCGGCTACCAGCCCCGCCCAGCAGCAGCAGGGAAACGAGTAAAAGCCAGAACTGCGGGGCGGGTGCTGGCTGATGTTAAAAGAGCCCCAAGGATCTCGATCTCATAAACCCATGATGGGAACAGTCTAATCATCAAGGGCGAGGTCAACGGAATGCCTTGTAAACTGACTATAGACACTGGAGCCTCTCGTACGGTTATTAGTTCCTAACTTATAAGTCAGTTCCTTGGGGACTCCGCATACAACCGAGAACGCATTAATTTGGTAACAGCCACCGGTCAGCGTATACCCGTCCGTGGAGAGAAAGAGATGGAGTTGAAGCTAGGCAACGTGATCTACCTGCATAATGTCATCGTGGCTGATATAATGGACGACTGCATCCTAGGCCTAGACTTTATGAGGAATAATTGTTGTGAGATCGACGTTAAGCAAGGTGTTTTGAAATGTAGACAGGAGGAAATTTTTATGGAAGGTGCGTTACCAGGGAACGTGTACAGCATTAAGAAGATTGTTCTTCCGCCGAGATCGGAAACGATTGTTCCGGTTAGTCTTCCTCGAAACGCTGGGCAAGCCCACCGTTGTGTACTTGTGGAAAGGGTAAACAATGACCTTCCATGGAAAGTAGCTCGAACCTTGGTCAGGACCACTGACATCTCAGGAGTACGTGTGCTGAACCTTTGCGACCGGGAACAGATTATAGAAAAAGGCACACCGGTTGGTACCTGTGAGGAAGTGGATTGGTTACGTCGGTGCAAATATATATCGAGTGGGACCCCCAGCAAGGATTCAGAAACGAGAGTGACCACACTTTTGGAAGACTGTCGCAGTCTTCTCTCCGCGAACGAATTGGTCAAGGCAAAGAAGTTGTTACTCAAGTACGCCGATGTATTCTCATCAAACGATGCTGACATAGGAAAGACAGGCTTAGTTCAACACAAAATAAACACTGGAGAAGAATTGCCTATCCGTCAGCGGCCAAGAAGATTGCCGGTAGCACGTGAAAAGGAAGTGGAAACCATAATGATTTCTTATATTTACGCGAACACTACACATTGAAATAATACTAATTTTTACGGAATTTATCGCGTATATTTAACTTTTTTACCCGACGTTTCAGCTTTACAGCACCCATGGTCACGGGAAGGACTGAGATGTTCAACGTCCAGCTGTCATAGAACCGCGGTTACCATAGATTAAAATTTAACTTTTGTTCCGATCTACACAGTATGAACTTTGGTATCATGGAGTCTTGCAGTTGTATGCTTGGGTTGGGATTTAATTTTATTTATTATAGGATCCCAAGCAGATGGTAGCACCCAGCCATCTTCTCTATTGAAATTAGGATGTTTTTTTGATTTCAATAGCCTCGCGAATCATCCTTGGAAGGAATCGGGTTCTTTAGCGAGGATTTGTGGTCTATCAAATCTGATGTAGTGACGGGGGCGATCCTGTACATGTTCACAGACTGCAGACTTCCTCCAGTCTTCCTCCAGGGAAGTCTGCAGTCTGTGAACATGTACAGGATCGCCCCCGTCACTACATCAGATTTGATAGACCACAAATCCTCGCTAAAGAACACCGATTCCTTCCAAGGATGATTCGCGAGGCTATTGAAATCAAAAAAACATCCTAATTTCAATAGAGAAGATGGCTGGGTGCTACCATCTGCTTGGGATCCTATAATAAATAAAATTAAATCCCAACCCAAGCATACAACTGCAAGACTCCATGATACCATAAGTTCATACTGTGTAGATCGGAACAAAAGTTAAATTTTAATCTATGGTAACCGCGGTTAACTATGACAGCTGGACGTTGAACATCTCAGTCCTTCCCGTGACCATGGGTGCTGTAAAGCTCTCGAAACGTCGGGTAAAAAAGTTAAATATACGCGATAAATTCCGTAAAAATTAGTATTATTTCAAAGTGGAAACCATGATTAAAGGAATGGTGAAGGATGGTGTTATTGAACCTTCCTCTAGTCCATGGTGTTCACCAGTTGTGCTGGTGAAGAAGAAGGATGGCAGCATGCGGTTTTGTGTTGACTACCGCCGTCTGAACGACGTTACGAAGAAGGACAGCTATCCCTTGCCAAGAATTGATGACATGCTGGACATGCTTACAGGAATAAAGTGGTTTAGCACGCTGGATCTAAAAGTGGCTACTGGCAAGTTGAAATTGACCCTAAGGACAAGGAGAAAACTGCGTTCTCGAAGCGAAAGGGTCTGTGGCAATTTAAAGTAATGCCGTTTAGGGTTGTGCAATGCTCCAGCAACGTTTGAAAGGCTTGTACTTACTGGGCTAATTGGCGATGCCTGTCTGGTATGGATGAAATACTTGGATGACATCATCATCGTGGG